CAACAAGAAGATCGAATGGTGAACGAACAACCTGAAAACACTATACCAACTCTTAAGCTAATACTCGTTGTAGATTGTTGGACTCCATCATCTAATGGCTTCTCCATCGAAACCTGAAAGGATTTACCGTGTGTTCTTAAGTTTCAGAGGCGAGGACGTCCGGAACAACTTTCTATGTCATCTCTACAGAGCTCTTGACCAAAAAGGAATCTACACTTATGTTGATAGCGAGGAGCTCAGGAAAGGAGAGCAAATAGCGCCGGCGCTTATGAAGACGATCGAGGAATCACAGATCGCGATAATCATTTTCTCTGAGGATTACGCTTCCTCATGGTGGTGTTTGGAAGAGGTGGCGAGAATCATGGAGTGCAAGAAAGAAAGATATCTCATGGTCTTTCCCTTGTTTTACAAAGTGGAACCTAGAGAAGTGAGAACACCAAGAGAGAGGTATAGAGAAGCTATGATCAAGCATGAGTCCAAGTTCAGGAAGGATTCGAAGGAAGTGAAGAGATGGGAGAAAGCTCTTTCCGATGCTGATAACTTGTCTGGGTGGCATTTGAAAGATGGGTAAGTAGAGTGGACTCAGTGGAGTTCATATTTTGTATAAGAAACCAATTTTTACAAGTAATTATAGAGATTGTTTGTAAATAGTCTGCACACACATGATTGTAAGTATATGCATAGATGCTTCATCTTATGGTTTCTGAAAATTCTTTAGCAGCTTGAGTTAAAGTGAGTAATCTCATATAAGAGTTGGTAAATTTAAGATTTAGATAAAAAAAGAAAAATAATATAATTAAAAGAAAATTAAACTTGGCAAGTTTCTCAAACGAGAATTGATGACCCAAAATTAGTTGGTAACTTCATTGTAGAGAATTTGGCAAGTCACTCTAATTAAGATCGGCAATTTCTAAAATTAGTTAGTAAATAACTCAAATGAGAGTTGATAACTCAATAAAAAAGATGGTCAATTAAAAGAACATAAGTCGCTCAAGTGAGAGTTGATAACCCAAAACTAGCAGACAATTATTTAATATAACGAATGTTGATAAGTCACTCTAATTTATGTTGGTAATTTCATATAATAGTAAGTTCGAGGCCATAAGTTATGCAAATCAATTTTGGTAAGTTACTACAAAAAATTAGTTATTTACTAATTATAAAAAAGATTGGTGATTTCATAAAATCGTTGGTAAGGTACTAACAAGTTATGGGAAAGGAAAAGGTCACCGATCATGTTTTACCGACAATTTTATGAATACTTACAAACACTTACTGAAATTCACTATCACAAAAAAAAAAAAGTATTTCTAGGCATGAAACAATAGAATTCTGCCTTTGGCTTTTGCTTAGCCTTGTTTCATTCGGGTAAGGTCCGAGTCATAAACTCGTTACCGGTGGCATTTTGAGTTTGAAAAATCACATGTAGCTAACCATAGAATAGACACGTGGCTTTTTCCCGTAAAAAAATTTGACAATAGGACTTCATCGCCCGAAAGTTTTACTGACTTATTGGAACAACATAAAATGTTAAAACTTGATCAATCAATGGACAAAATGTTAAGTATGTGTTACTACACCTATCCCTTTTCTTTGGAAGGAAAGAGAAAGTTCGCCAACACTTGATACAGGATAATTAGTGTGCACAGGCCATGTAAGGCAATGGCATCGTGCTTCGGCGTATTTTGATAGTTTTCAAATCAAAATCTCAACCATCGTTCAAAGTCCTGAATAACTTTATTTGATTAAGCGTATAAATAAATTACATATTACAGTTCAACAAAAAAAATAACCAAATCGTCATGTATAAATCAAAAGAACATGAATCACTTGGATGACTAAAAGTTGAACCCTGAACTTGTTTTGATTGTTGTGGAGCTCTTTTGAGTTCTAATTCGACTTGGTAGGAATACATTTTGTTTTGGCTGTGGTTATGTAAAAATGTGATGCACTACTTTTGTCATCGTTGGCTAGTAATTGCTTGTTATTTGCTTATTCAAATTGCTAAAACGATGCCACAACTTCTTTTTTTTTTTTTTTTTCAGAGATGAGTCAGAGCTTAGACAAAGAATTGTGACGGAAATCTCCACTCACCTAGACCGATCACTTTTGCATGTTGCTACACATCCAGTTGGGATAGATTCTCGAGTGGTTAAGTTAAAATCGATGTTAAACCTTGAGTTTGATGATGATATTCTCATGGTGGGATTGTGGGGACAAGGAGGCATAGGAAAGACGACTTTTGCCAAAGCCATTTATAATGATATTTTCAATCAATTTGGGAATTCATGTTTTTTGGCAAATGTTCGAGAAGTTTCAAAAGATTGCAAGGATTTAGTAACTTTGCAAGAAAAATTACTATTTGAGATATTAGCACTGAAAGAAAGATTAGTAGTGTCCAATGTTGACAGAGGTATTAATCTAATACAAGAAAGACTTTGTCACAAAAAAGTTCTCCTTATCCTTGATGATGTGGATGACTTGCGCCAGTTACATGCTTCAGTAGGAGAAGGTAAGTGGCTTCATAATGGGAGTAGGATCATTGTTACTACAAGAGATAGCCATTTGTTAACTTATCTCGGGATAGATCAATATCATGTGTACGAAATTAGAGAACTGGATGACAGTGAAGCTCGTGAGCTATTTAGTAAGCATGCTTTTCCGGCACATCAAAAATTTAAAATCAGGATAGATCTAGTGGATAGTGTTCTAAATCATGCTAAAGGCCTTCCTTTAGCACTTGAGGTGCTAGGTTCCTTCTTACGCGGTAGAAGAGAATATGAATGGGAAAGTGCACTGGATGAAATTTCTACGGCTCCTAGAAAAGGCATCAATGATGTGCTCAAAATAAGTTATGGTGGACTAGAGCCAAAAGTGAAAGAGATCTTTCTCCACATTGCCTGCTTCTTTAAGGGTTGGGATAATGAGTATGTAAAGAAAGTTCTCTACAGTTGCGATCTTAAGGCAGTAATAGGATTACAAATTCTCATGGAGAGGTCCTGTCACGCCCCGCACCCTACAGCGCACCACATCCCTCGCAAAGGTCGATTCGAGTGCGACGTCCCAGGACGCGTCGCCGACCCAACGCCCAACACAGAGATTAAAGCACACGCGGAAGCAATACAATACCCGAACAAATTTAAAACCACGAAACCAAGGATAGCCACACAGCAAACAACATGAACAATTATACACTTGCATTACTACCGGGAAGCATTTACAATATCCATTTACACCCAAAATATACACCACTAATCATTAACGGGTCAACGACCGCAACTGACAAAAAGGGGTACGCGGCTCGGCGGTCAAGCACTATAAGCCGGGGCTCCTCCCAAAACGTATCGGTACGCCTGCCATCCTCAAGGTCGAGGTCTGAAAAATTGGGTTTCAACAACAGCGAGAATAAATCTCAGCGAGTAGGTTCCCTAAACCTAAACTAGGCTAACATGCACCTCCTGACGAGCACCAAACAACACACAGCCTAAACCATAAATGACTTAGGCCCTCGGGCCCAAATACACTTAACTGACCCTGCAGGTTAGGCACCTATAAATAAGAGCGATAATGGCACATAACTCAATCACGGTACATATACGCATATCACTTAGTCACGACGCATGTCATGCATATGCTTGTGCTCACACTCATGCCCATGCCTCATCAATGCATTGCCGCACACTTGCACTCTTGCATACTTGCCATTTATCAATTCTCCTCCGACCCGCGTAAAACGCATCAGGTCCATCACTTCGAGATCGATCTCTGGCCCGCGTAAAACGCATCAGGCTCATGGCACAACACCCGCGTAAAACACATCAGGTTTGGCCATCTTCCGGTAGTCCGGGCATCGTCCCGCGTAACACACCTCAGGACGGGTTCAATACCCCGCGTAAAACGCATCAGGGCTTTATGTGATCACACTTTCGCATACACCAGTCATTATCTGAACCCCGCGTAAAACGCATCAGGGTGTTTTAAGTGATCACACGCTCATGTCAATCGTGCACACTCGTATATGCACATGCCATGCCAATGCTTGAGATGCACACCCATGGCCATAAAGTTCATACTTGGGCACTCGCGAATTTCACAATGAGCATTCAGTTGCACAACGCCACTTATTCAACTCACAACACGATATGCTCAATCCACATTTCAATATGCCCAACCAACATATTAGCATGACCATGAAAACAATTCAAGCACTCTTGCACAGCACATAAATCACACATGTAAATTGCACCATTAGGTCAACATGAATCCGCGCATTCAAGACCCGCTAAGCTACTCCATTCTTAGTCACACTAGGCACATGACACGGTACCACCAATTGATCACAACCAACGACAAATCAGCCACATAATCCACCAATCTAAACATTCTCGGTAATTACACAATTAAATCCCAAATTTATCGCTCTTAGTCTCATTCAATCCCGATATGGCCAGCCACCAAACAGATCATTCTAGGCCAATAAATATCCTCAAAATACTCCGTTTGGCTCCCCAAACATCACCCGAATCAGCCACCATGAGGATCAAGCTAGGCGCGCACTATAATCCACAATTGAACCCGAACTTACTCCAAACTTGGGCCAATTCAACCCAATAAGTCCAGCCATCACACAGCCCATTCTAAGCCGCTAAACCTCGATTAAATTATCACCCTAAGCCACGAAATCAGCCACCATAACATCCCCTAACAATCTCCACAATTAACCCCTAAAATACCCTAATTAACCCATAAAACCCATCTAGAAATGTAATTTAGCCTAATTAGGGTTTAGGGTTGTACTCACTTGGAATCCTAAGCTCCACACAAGGCTGAACAAGTGGCGGGGACGGCTGGACAGTGGCGGCCCCGAGCCGGAACAGTGGCGGCGAGTGGCGGCTCTTGCGAATGGCTTGAGCGGCGGCGATGGTCTAGGCGATCCCACGGCCTAGAGAGGGAGAGAGAGGCACGGCCAGAGAGAGAGAAAGGGGGACGGAATGGTTCAGTTACTACGACTCGTTGGTTCGCATGCCTGACCTCTCATTTACTCCAAATCTCGAGGAATTGTATATGCATAATTGCAAAAGCATGGTAGAAGCCCATGAGTCCATTGCATATCATGACAAGTTACAGGTGTTGGATTTAAGGGAGTGCCTTGAACTTAGTGTTTTTCCAAATGAGCTGAGGTCAAAAAATCTCCGACGTCTCCATCTTGAAAAATGCACAAAATTTGAAAGATTCCCTGATATTCCACATAAACTCAAAGGCTTGGAAGAGCTTTATTTACAAACAACTGCTATTAAAGGACTTCCTACATCAATAGAAAATCTTATCTCTTTGAACCAAATGTACATATATAATTGCAAGAACCTGGAACATGTTCCATCTAGCATTTATAAGTTACAAAACCTTACGCGCTTGGAAGTTAGCTCTTGCACCAATTTAATTGGGTTTCCAAAGTATGAGGACTCAGTTGATCCGTGCATGAAGACCGTACTTCCAAAGTTACACAGTTTAGACCTCTCAGGATGTAATTTGTCCAAAGTAGAGTTTCTTGAGAATCTTTCCTGTTTTCCTGTCTTGGAAGGGTTATATTTGCAGAGGAACAATTTTACTAGTCTTCCTACATCCATCACTAAGCGTGATCATTTGTGCCACCTGAATGTTAGAGAATGCCATCAATTACAAGAGATTCCCGAGCTTCCACCACTTTTGAATTCTTTTCAGGCAGATGATTGCGAATCTCTGCAAAAATTTGGAGATTTAACTTCATTTCACCATCTTGTCCGTAGAAAGTTGACCATGGCTAATACTTCCCCACTTGACCAAGTTAGACTCTCTCTCTCTCTCTCTCTCTCTCTCTCTCTCATAAGTCGATGTGGAGTATGTGCTAGATCCAGTGTGTGCTTGTATATTGCAATAGCAAAAAATGCAATTGGAGGCTTAAGAAAAGCAAACAAATATAAAGTGAGGTCAAACTGTTTATATCAATGCGCATTCTCGCAAGAGAAATTATCAAAATAATGTAAAAGTTTTTTCTTTATATCAATGTGATATCCCATAGTTTTTTGAGTACCTAACTAATCTCCACTAGATGAGATGTAGTCCCACCTCTGGCCGAACCCACTAACATGGGGTAATTACTGAGGACATGCAGGTTTATGTTATTGGGAGTATCACAGAGAAAATGCGCCAATGTGGTGATTTGAACTCTAGCATTGATAAAGGAGGATAAAAATGTTTACTACTTGTGAAACCTCTTAGGGTTATAGACATATCGATACAGTAATGGAAAGTTGGATAGAATAGTGTGCTAGGGCTATATCATGTGTCGCACAATCATTGGCTCCATTTTCCTCCATCAACCTATATTTCGTTAAAGGAAATATGAAAGGGTGTTAGTTAAATGTTCGCTAGGACTAGAACTTGAAAAATTCATTTCTGTAGTTATACACGAACTTTGTCATTTACTATTTTTTTTTACCATTAACTATTAACTAAAAATGAAAAAAAGTTAGAAAACACAGCGGCATAATTAACTTGCATAGCAAATTACCACATATAAAAGGTAATTTAGATAAGAAATTTACTTATTATGTAGCCAAGAAAAACTTCATTAATTAATCGTTTTTAGATGGGCATTAATTGATATGGCTAGATCACATGGTAAAACATGAGGATGGTATAAAATCAAAACCAAACATTACAAAAGTTTAACTAAGAAAGAAAAATTTTGCACCATATAGTCCATATCTTGGTGTAAATAATCAGTATTTGGCATTGATTGGATACTAGCAATACCAATAACAAGGAAAATGTTGCACATGTCATTGGCTTGAATAATCAGTGTAGGTGGCTACTGTGCTTTTGGGAATGATTTCTATCACATGAGACTTGTATGTTAATGCAAGCAAGGATTATTGGATCTATACTCACTCATTCACCTCTGGTTTCAAGTGGAATTCGCTAGAATTACTAACTCAAATTGAATTTTCTATTTGGAAACGGATAACAAACTCGGTACTTTCTAATGCTCTATCTTTATAACAGAAGTTTCGTAATTACCATGGTTACCTAATTACTCTCCCTGGAGGAGAGATGCCAGAGTGGGTCCTCCCTGTTGAAGAGGATTCCGTATCTTTTATGGCTTCAGAGGACTTGTATGACAAGTTTTTTGGATTTGCTCTTTATATTTTTGTCGGTAATGGTGAAGAGACAGAAAGATTCTCTTTTATGCTTCAACCGCATGTTAATGGTGATCCTCGGAGTTTCCTTGTACCATATTTTGAATGCTTTGGGTCAGGATCGGATCGTATTTGGCTTGAGTATTTTGAACCATTTGAGCTGTGGCAAGAAGTCGATTTTGGTCAAATTGATGGGAGTTATGCACAATTTAGCGTAACACTCTCGGGTAAAAACGTGAAAAAGTGGGGATTCCGAATAATATGCAAGTCACTAGAGGACGATTTAAAGATTATTCTCCGAGACAATCAGCTAATAGATCCAGCTTTACTCTATGAAGTTGTTCTTGAATCAACAAATTTAGAAGCCGCGATTTTACTTGTACACAAAGATAGTTCCAGCGAAGCAGATCTACAAAAATACTTGGAAGATTGTCTGAGGAGTGCCAAGGAACAAAGTCAAATAGAATTAAAGAGAAATCTTCAGGTATTCCCCTCCGAGGCTTTCTTTGGGTATTACACCCAAGTATTATATATATATATATTTTTTTTTTGGGAAAAAACCACCAAAAACCCCAAACTTTGCCATCTGTGACACATTTACCCCGAACTTTTTTTTTGTGACACCAAAAACCCCGAACTTTGCTTTTTGTGACACATTTACCCCAATGTATTTAGTCCATGGGCATTTTCGTCTTTTCGCTTTTTCTTTTTTTTTTTTTTTTTTTTCCTTCCGGCGAGGGGGCCTCGCCGGCGTCGGCCTCGCCGGATCCGGCGAGGGCCCTCGCCGGCGTCGAGCGAGGGCGGCCCTCGCCAGATCCGGCGAGGCGCCTCGCCGGCGTCGGGCGAGGTTCGCCTCCACGGGCGAGCGAGGCGGCCCTCGCTCGACTCGGGCGAGGTGGACCCTCGCGGCCGGCGAGGGTCCACCTCGCCGGACGCCGGCGAGGGTCGACCTTTGAGTCGGGCGACGGCCGCCCTCGCTCGCCCGGGCGAGGGCGGCCACTCACCGGCGTCGGGCAAGGTTCGCCCAGCACCGGGCGAGCAAGGGCCGCCCTCGCCGATCTGGCGAGGTCGACCCTCGCCGGGTCGGGCCGGGTCGACCTCGCCTTGAGTCGGGCGAGGGCGCGCCGCGCCGGATCCGCGAGGGCTGCCTCGCTCGACGCCGGCGAGGGTCGACCTCGCCGGATCGGGCGAGGGCCGCCCTCGCTCGCCCGGGCGAGTCGACCTCGCCCGACGCCGGCGAGGGTCGACCTCGCCCAGATCGGGCGAGGGCGGCCCTCGCTCGCCCAAGCGAGGCGGACCTCGCTCGACGCCGGCGAGGGTCGACCTCGCCTGGAGTCGGGCGAGGCCGCCTCGCTTGCCCGGCGAGGGCGAACCTCGCCGACGCCGGCGAGGCCGCCACGGCTCAACGCCGGCGAGGCCGCCTCGCTCGGCACGCCGGCGAGGGCCCCCTCGCGGATCCGGCGAGGCCGACGCCGGCGAAGCCCCCTCGCGGAAAGGAAAAAAAAGAAAAAGCGAGAAAAGACGAAAATGCCCATGGACTAAATACATTGGGGTAAATGTGTCACAAAAAGCAAAGTTCGGGGTTTTTGGTGTCACAAAAAAAAGTTCGGGGTAAATGTGTCACAGATGGCAAAGTTTGGGGTTTTTGGTGGTTTTTCCCTTTTTTTTTTCTTTTTTTGCAAAGGCAATCAAAAACTCTAAATTATACTCACTATAACACATTTACCCTATATTTTTTTTGTAACGCTAAAAATTTTAAATTTGTACTTGTACGACACATTTTACTTCCATCAAAGTTCTGTTAATGTGAACCATTAAAAATTTTCCTACATAGACACCGGAAAGCAAATAATGCTAACATGGCACCCATATGGCTTAAGTAAAATAAAAAGACACCGTTATTTTGATCGAAAAATCATCTAAAAGAATAAATGTATCGCATAAATATAAATTTAGAATTTTTTATGATACAAGAATAAAGTTGAGGTAAAAATATTATCGTGGATATAATTTGAGATTTTTGACGTCGCAAAAAAGAGTCTAATGCAAACGTGAGTGGGGATAGTTTTCGTTTTTTTGTAGCTTTTTTTTCTGCTAAATCCTCTTTTCTCCGCCGTAGGTAGACTTCGATCGCCACCGACGCGACCTTCCGCATCCCGACTCCTCCTCATCTTCCATACACCGGCGAGATTTGACTAATGTAAGATGGCCACCTGCCTACGGAGAGGATAAGTTCACCTGCATGATACGACATCCTCCAGACCAGTGAGGGAGCAACGTACTACCGCCGCCGTCCGAAGCCATGGAAACCAATGACGTAGCTTCTGGTGAGCGATTCTCTCCCTGAGGTTCGTTCTGGGCTTCATACAGCTTGCGATAGATCAGGCAACGCCTGGCACATCCGAAGTGTATTAAGTTTATTTGTAATACTTGTGATGTATTTTGACCTCTGTGCGTTTGGTGCTACAATTGCGTGGGAACTTGAAGAATGTGTCGTCTAATTTGTTCGAGAGACGTTGATTGAGCGTTTCTTAGTAAGTTTTGTCCGTGGATGCTTGGTAGTGAAGTCAGCAACGATCCCTACAAGGCATAGCCTTTCTTTCTTTCTTTTGATAGGTAGCACTGCATTCAAAGAAGTAGGTGAAGTCTAGGTTTAATGGAAAAACAAGCAAGGGAGAGTGAAACAATGGGAAGTAGGGTATACATGGGCTTGTTCAGTCCCCTTTTCAGGCGAAGAACTGAGCCAATCCGGGTGCTATAGGTTGGTAATTCCCTTACCCGAAACCAGGCAATGGAGTGGACAACCATCTATAGAGAGAGAGAGAGAGAGAGGGCTTGGGTGCTTATTGAATTGTGAGGAACTTCGATCACTGGGATAGGTCTCTGTCACTAAGTTTTATGAGGTGCTTGAATAGGCAAAACCATGAGGAATGAAGAAGTGAGATGGCAGTCATCGGGAAAGGTTGCTTGGCAGTCGAGTCCTTTACTGCTTGTTTACTTTGGCAACTAGGGAGAATTGAAAAGTACTACTTGGAGCTTGAGAGCAATATGAACATCGGTTGTGCCCATGGATAACTTGTTAGGTGGTTATTTTCTTTCGCCCTGTGGACTACGGATATGAAAAAGAAACAAATCACAAGAAACACGGCATTTACTTAAGTTATTCAGTGGAATAGAGTCAAAAGCACAAGAAGCTGATTGTCAATTCTGATTTCTGAGGCCTTCGCAACAGCTTAGGATTCTCTTTTTATTTTTTATGTGCCATAGCTTTTATGAAGGAAATTGACTGAGAGGCTAAAACTCCTGGATGCTTCTTGAATGTTTGAGTAAAACCTTATTAATGAAAGATAAACTTCCGAGGTACCAATAGTAAGACATACTGGAATGAGCAACATGTAGTTTCTTAAATTAGTGGCTTTTTTGCTTTAGAGTTGTTAGAGCCGTATCAGTTTAAGTGTTAGTGGGATTTGCATCTGAATTACTGGATTAGTATGTATTAATAATCATTATTTGGAAGTTTGTGACCAGTGTATGATACAGGACCTGCAAGATCTTGATCATATAGCTATGAGACATGGATTCATTCAATTAGTAGCTGCATATTGATACTAAAATAGTTCTACTGCTGGCAACTTGATTCTGATTTCACCTTAAATTGCCTGTATGCACGTATGAGAGAAATTCTGACTCTTATTCGCTTATTTTTTTTCTCCTTTTCTTATATAAGGCAAAGCTTGCCTTGGATAGCCTTGAAGTCCCAGTTGGGTAAGAAACTGATTTCAGCAACCAAGTGCATTTCAGTGTTACTATATTTTATAAGTAAGACGATTAGTATTTTCAGTCTTAATTAGTAAATGATTTCACATTGTACTTTATTTGTATTATAATTTGATTGAACAGCTGTGTGATTGTTAAGGAAGGGTAACTTATTGCGACAGGAAGAAACAGGACTAATGCGACATGGAATGTATGTCTACCATTGCTTCTCCAACCCTTTCTATAATTTTTGGCCAACGGCACTTTGTTGTTGTTCTGAATTGACACCCTCACATTATCCACTCATTATTGTTGATCTTTTTTGTGTTTCTGACTTAAATATTTCTTTAATATATGATAAAATAGTATATCAGAACAAATCTGTTAAAAAGTGCAATTTTCTGTGCATTATTAGGCTGTAAATGGTCTTGTTCCCATTATTCTTTCATAAAATATGACTAAAGCTAACAAACATACAATGCTTCACGTTTCTCGTTTGCCATTGTGCTCTGTCTGAATTTTCGACCGAGAACAGTCAAAGAAAAAGCTTTAATGAGGAGAGAGAGAGACAATAGAGGAATGATATTTATTTATTTTTTGGATAGAAATAAAGCTGTAGCAAGCTGCTGAACCAGAATGTTGAGTGCTCATAGATTGTGCTCTATTGCATGCTTGAATATGTTAATGAGTACTTGATTGCCTAAACAGATTATAATTTTATAGATTATTCTGGATACGTATTTATTGCTTTAAATCACATGACAGCGAGTTGTTATGATGGCTTCACCTCTCTTGATTAAAATGGTGTAGTGAGAGATGCAAAATTCTAAAGTTTTGGGAAGCGATTTAAGAGACTTTGCAAATTCTCAAGTATAGGGAGGATAACTGCAATTTCACATAAAATTTAAAGAATGTAACGCTTGGGTACTAGAAATTAGATCGAATACCTAATAGTGAGGAGCAAAGAGAGTTGTCCATGCTTCACGCATAAGGTCCTCTCGTAGACTCTCAGGGTTGTGGGTATTTGAAGAAAGATATGAAATTTCCGGGTAAGGTGTATTGATGATTCTGTCTTAAAGACAGTGATTCTTCTAATAGGATTCATGATCTAATGCTGTTGGCTTTGACGAAAGTCCTGTTCCTAGGATCCAATCTATGCACTCTAATCTCCCTCACTTAGTCTGCCAAGCAAAGGATGAACACGATCAAGCCTTAAAAATATAGTCAACATGGAGCAGATATGGGGTGATTTTAAGAGGAAATAGATTTGGACTCAAATGTTAATCAAGAGTAAAAAATAAACAAACGTGAAGGAGAAAATATTTTTCCTGAAATGCATTTCGTAAATTTATGTTGAAGCTACACTAAGAGCAACTTTCTCTCTGATAAAGCTCCTAAGTTTGATATGCTTTCTTTACTTTTCTCCTTGCTCATTCCTAGGCAACAAGACATGCGGAAATGGAAGCTCTTGATGTTCTCTTTTAACAGTGGCAGAGGACTGGATTTTCGTTGGCAGAAGTTGCAGAGAAGTTTTCAGCATGCTCTCTTTATGTGACATGTGAACTATGCATAATGTGTGCAGCAGCATTATCGATCATTGGTACATCTGTTGATCATACCGAAATAGAACTAAACTTTCATAAAATTTGATTATTCATAAATGATTAGATGACTCTTAGCCATTTTTAGGTATAAAGGAAGTAT